AGAATTTGAAGTTATAACATATATTATATGCGGGTAATTAAAAAAACTTAAAGGAAGAGAAAAGAGTATGAAATTATTTTTTTCTTTTGTGGCTACAATTTTAGTTTTGTGAAATATAGATTGTAATTTCACAGCTAGTATTTCTAAGTCTAGTGTGGCAAAAAATACATAATATAATAATTTATTAAATTTATACGATCACATAACATTGAATAAAAATATTTTTATGGATTAATCACGTTTAATGTAACTATTATTATTACAGGATTGTTGCGCGGAAAACCATTTGTATTTTTATTTCATTCGAAGGTAGGTTTGCCAAGCGTTTTGTCCTTCCTTCGACCTTTCCTTCACCTGTCGTCCCTCCGACACACCAGGGTGGTGGGGTGAGAAGGGAAAGAAGAAACTTCTAGAATGTCACGTGATTCTCGCAACCGAGGAAATATAAGTGCGCGCACGGCCTGCGCGCTCTCTTCCCTTCGCGCACCAGTTGGAACCACACCGCCTAGGACAGTCGAGTCCTAGAGGGCTTTGCCCACGCGCACCGCTAGTTCAACCGCATTAGCCTGGGCAGTTGAGCCCCAGGAGTAACCGCTCACCTAGTGTGAGAAATAGTCGCGCACCGCTCTCTTCCATCGCACCATCGACCAGGACCGCATCTCTGGGGCCCCAGGAGATCCGCCCAAAAGTCGCAACGCAGCAACAAAGCGCCCAAGCCGCATCGAAGCAACACCCCGGTGAGTAACTTCCAGTTATAAGCCTGCTTGACATAATTGTGTTTATTAGTTAATCCGCTCCAATTTCATTTTCTCCTAGCGTGATCAAGCAGGGTTCCTTCATAGACTTTGGCAAGCAATAGCTCGTTTAGGGAAGAGCGAGTGCATTGTCAGGAAAACCGCATGCTATAGTCGCCATTTTGTGGAGACGGAAGAAGCCATCCGCTTATACAGTCCATTTAGTGTAACATCTCGCGTAATAGGCTTAAGGCTCGATCGGGGAATTGGAATTCGGTAACCTTAGGCCCGTCGCTCAACCATTTCTGGTCATTCGGCCGGATTTGGACTGGTGCTATAGCCGCACTGTCCATTCAATCATCGAACTGTTAGATTAATTGCTTAGACAATGCACTCTAATTTTATTGAATAGATTTAAATAGTGTTTGTTTAGTTTAAATTTAAACTTTGGTTAGTTATTCGCAAATAGAATTCATTCATTTAAATAGTGTTTGTTTAGTTTAAATTTAAAATTTGGTTAGTTATTCGCAAATAGAATTCATTCATTTAAATAGTGTTTGTTTAGTTTAAATTTAAACTTTGGTTATTTACTCGCAAATAGAATTATTCATTTAAATAGTTTTGTTTAGTTTAAATTTAAAGTTTATTAGTTGCTCGCATAAGTGAATTGACTTATTTATTAAAAATAATTTAATCCCGCACGGTTTATGCGCTTACCCGACATTTGAAGAAACATTGAGTTTAGCAAGCGACACGCGTCACCTCGGCCCGTTGTAAAGGCGTTCAATTTAACGACATAATACGGCATGCGTGTCCATCCGTCAGCGTTGTGCGATTAATAGTGATTAATCTAATATTAATTATAATAATTTAAAATGGCAGTTAGTGGAAATTAAATGAAACTTAAAACTCTTTACGCCAAGAGGGACGTACTCTTTTCACGTATACAATATATTAGTGATCACGTAAAGAACATTAACGTAGAAGCAGTGCGGGAAACGTTTTTGTGTGAAATCGAAACGGTAGACTCTTTGCGGACAGATTATGAAAGGGTATTAGAGCAAATTAATAATTTGGAATTAAAAATAGACCCTAAATACACAGTGAACTATCAGCCGCTTCTAGCATTTGAAGATATGTTGTGTCGCGTGAAAAGAACGGCGAAGCTCTTGCAATCCCCATCTCAAAGCGAAGCAAAGCCGGAAGCCCAGGTACGCCCACGTACCTAGGCGTACGATATTAAGACATGGCCCATCTTCTTTAGTAGTTTTCAAAACAATATACATAATAATCCATCGTTATCGGACGCTGAAAAATTATATTATTTAATTAGTAAACTGAGTGGCAGGGCACAGTCAATTTGCTCGGGTTTCACACCAACAGCAAATAATTATTTGTTAATATTCGAAACGCTTAAGGACAAATATGAAGATAAGCGAATGTTAGCCTCTTCATATTTATTTTATTTTTATTTATTTATTTATTTTTACAAAATATAGTTATTAAATAACATCCGACAGTACAAATAAACTTACAAAAGTTTTTCCATGTATCGTCGATTCGTAACTTCGACCATGTTCAATCGGTTCGCGTAGCGACATCTTACATAATACATGGTGTGACAATATTTTGACAATATTTTTTTTAACTATATGTGTACCACAGGAAAGGACAGTTAGTGAGTTTGATAAATAATATTAGTAATCGAGATATTAATGTTACGATTGTGTGTATCTATGTATATATTTATTAGTAGATTTGTATTTATGTACATTATGTGTGTTAGTATAGTTTTTTTTTGTATAAATTATTAGTAGGTGTCGCTATCAATTTGTCTATAAAATACTGTTTGAGCTTATATTTAATATTTTTCTTGGTTAGTTCATTTTTATTGCTTTTGGAATTTGGTTCAAAAGAGCGGAAACTTGATATTGTAACCTAAATTTTCCATACATATTTTTATATTTTGGTATCATCATATATGGATTAGGGGCTTGTCATGTAAGCTTTGTATAGATACGGCTAATTTTTAATTCTTCCTTGCTATAATTTTCAAGCAGTAGTTGGTATTTCACCTTGTCGTGTACTGGTAGTATATTGCAATGATGAAAGAGACCATAGGGATTTTTTTTAAATTTATCTTTGATTTTGAGAGGGATGATACATTTAAGAATGTTTAGACCAAATATTTGATATTAAACCTATATCATCCGCGAACATCGCCGGCTTAGAGCAGTTTTTAGATAAATTTGTAGCATCGGTGGCTGCACTTAAGAATTTGAATTTTAATGACCTTATGGACGTGGTGTTTCTCCATGTTGCACTAAAGAAACTAGACCCCGACACCGTGCGTGCGTTTGAAATGGAGCATCTTAGCTCTGAAATGCCCTCCTGGACATTTTGCAAGCATATTTCAGCATAAATAAACAAAGAAAAATTATTTGACGCAATTTAATGGTCCCCTGAGATTTACAAAAAGAAAATAATGGACGCAGAAATGTTGTAGTACAGAAAATTTAATATTTAATTTTTGTTAGTAAACAAAAATATTGTTATTAAATTTATAAACATTTTGAAATCTGAAGTATTTCTTACATTTAAAATTACTTATAAGTTTTACTTTCTTATAATAACACTTTTAGGTTCAATAACGTTTATTGTATTCGATTTTAAGTAGAAGAGATTCTAACGTTTTAAAGTTGTGTTTATGTGTACTTTAGCATTTAGGCATTAAGTAAAGCTATATCTGTAACTATTTAGTAAGTATTAATAATGTAATTATGAAAGATGATACGGCATATCTAAATTAAATGCCATACTTACCGAAGTTTTCACATAATTATTCAAAAGCCTAAGATACATGTAAAGAGGACCCAATAAGTAATCTTTGTCTTAGATTTTGTTTAGTTCATTATTTTTACACATTATATTTGAGTTTTAAAATACTAGCGATACCCGCTTCGCACTGGTGATATCTGGATCTCGACAGTGCCACCTACCGGATCCAAATATGAACATAAACCATCGAGGTACTCATTCAAATACACCAAAAATGTCATTAAAATCGATTGGATGGTTTTAAAGTGGTTTCTAATGGTTTCTATAACGACCAGACCAGACCTTAGATAAATATAGATGTATATTTATCTAAAGTCTGTTTGTGGAAAACAGAAGAGTTTTTGTGCGAGATAGAGCCACGCTGCAGCTATATAATGGTTTTGGCATGAATGGGTCAGCTCGATCGGGGTAGAACCACGCTCTCAGAGAATACCAACGTAAAAGAGCAGCTTAATACTGCTGTATTTCTATGGTGGTGAGGGGAGATCATTATCCTCAGGGGTAACAGGTGACGTTTTGATTCTTAATCGAGAATAAATGTAAAAGACTATGGGCTACAGCAACTTACCACCAGGTGGACTGTGTGCACGTTTGTCACTCTTATTCTATTAAAAAAAATTGTACAATGACCTTAGCGTCTACAGCCTTTGGTTAAAAACATTTTAAATTAAAGCACCGTGTTAAGTCTGCGACATGAAAGAGCTGCCACGATTAGGTCAACAGCATACTGTGTTTTGTATGTTATGTTATGTTATATATATTTTACTGGTAAGGGGACAAACTTGATCTTCCACCCGTGCACCCATCGGCTTCACTTACTAGTACGTGCAGGCGGGATCCTGGATTACTCTTGCATCTACTGCATTACACTTTCTAATTTATATCTCTATACATAAAATCAATTACTGTCCGTTAGTTTCGCTAAAATTAGTTTTAGTCCTCTCTCCATTTTAGTCGTCAGAGCTAACAACACTTCTGCAACTTGATTCAAAAACAAGCTAGATGCACCATGAAGCTGGCTTTAGGTTTATTTGTCACATTTATTTCCGTAGAAAAGGAAATTTATTTTTGTTATTTAAAATGAAAACGAAGTTACAGTACATGTGACGGTAAATGGCTTTTACAGTTCTTGCACACCTGCAACAAACATAAAACCAAGAAACTTAGGTTAAAGTCGCACTGCGAGATTTTATTATCGTGGTTTATATTCCGTGCACTGAATCTCACATAATATGTAAATTTACTCACAATTTTTGTTATTTCTATAAAGATTCCAGCCGATATGCCTGTCTAAAACTAAGACCTTAACAAGTGTACTTTTATTAAGGTGTAGAAGACGTGTCAAAATACCTATGCCAGAAACACTAAACTTACTCGTTAAAAAGTTTCCAACTATTTATTAGTATTCTGTTCTTTTAATCAACAACAATGTCACTTGAACCACAAAAGTGAGTGAAACTAGAATAAAATGTATAAGGCTGAAACTATATTTATTTATAAATAATTTTTGTGAGTGTCTTACTGTTTTTTTATAAACCAACGTTCAAAAATTAATCATTATTTATTTTATCAATTGCTCAATTAAGTGCTACGTAGGATATAATTTTTAATTTATGTCGGTCCTTGTAACCTCACTTTATTATACACACATTTTATAAAAAAGATTATTCTAAAATAAATCCTATACCTTTAAACATATATATATATATATATATATATATATATATATATATATATATATATATATATATATATATATATATATATTATCTGAATCTCGGAAACGGCTCGAACGATTTTTATAAAATTTAGTATTCAGGGAGTTTCGGGGGCAATAAATCGATCTAGCTAGGATTTATTTTTATAAAATGTCTTTTTATCCGTGTTTTCAGGCAATGAAAAACTGCTACAATATAAGAAGGTACATTTTGACACTGAGCTAATGATCGTAATAGCTCAAGTGGATATCGAGCGGTCGCGAAATCTTAATGCCTTGGTTCGCGTCCTGTCTTCGGTCCGATTTTTTGTCCTTTTTTTTCAAGTTACCTTCTTTTGTAACAAAATCTATTATTTCGAGACCTTCTTTTAGTATTTTTTAAAAATACGAAAATTTTAATTAAACTAATAGCTCTCATGATTTTTATTCAAATAACCAGGTCCGTATTTTCTATTATGCTTCGATCAACAATACCAACTAGGTGTCGGATCGGCGCAAGAAACCCATCTCAGTACATAACAGCGCACATGAGACGTGAGCTCTTGTTTCGTTTAGTTCACTTGAAACACAGCCAATGAAAACATGTTTCACAATGCCGCAATGTGTATTTAAAAGTTGCAAGAATAATGCCCGAAAAAGTAATTTAACGGACGGAGTGTTTTACTTTCGGTAAGTACATGTATAATATGTTATATTTTAAGCTCTAAGCTAACAAATAATATCATATTTGAAACAAAATCACCCCTACAAATGTTTTGCGAAAGTTGACCAATATACGGGCAAACATTTGTGAAACAGAACATAGACGCGTGAAGACGCGAAGAAGTGAAGAAGATAAAGACTTGTATTGTAATAATTTTTAATAATTTTGTACCAAAACTTTAAATTTTTTATTATTTTATGGACATTAGATACCTACTTAGCTTTTTATTTTAGCTTTTCTAGCAATTTGCTTAAGTGTGCAGAATGGACCTCGATTGTCGCCAGAGAAAGAATGGTTTGTAGGTTTATAATTTTTTAGTAATGCTAGCAGGCTGATGGCGTATTGCAACTTTTTATGTACAACACATAAAAACACTTATAAATAAAAAATCCTATTATACGCAAAAATCTAAAATAATTAGTATTTAATTTATTCATTTTTTTTATTGTACTTCAACACAAACAAGTTTTTTTTATAGGATAGGGTGACAGACGAACACAGTCCACCTGACGGTAAGTGGTTGGGCCCATAGACATCTACATCTACCCTCGATTACGAAACAAAATGCAGATGCGTTGTCACTCTTGAGGACTAAGATGGAATGCCTCATTTCCAATAAAAAGGGTATCCGGTTCTCTACACACCATACGAAACATAGCAGCATTAAGCTACTATTTTACGCAGGTATTCTGTGAGAGCGTGGTTTTTCCCCGGTCGAGCCAACCCATTTGTGCTACAGCTATATTACTAGATATATATTGAATTAGTTAATTAAATGCAATCAATATACTACGTACTATATTTTATTTTTTGACTGAATGTATGTATACCAACGATCATAAATGCCCAAAACATAAAATAATTTTAATTAAACCTATGATCACATTATAAATTATTTTAGTGTTCAACGCGACTCAATACTTCCTGGGCCAAATTCGAAGAAGAAAACAGAAACATAACAAAATGACGTAGCTCGCAAGGCAATAACGGGAAAAAGTACTTTATTTGTTATACCTTAAGGTTGATTTCACACAAAATGTTATTTAACCTATGTCTTTTTATTTCCAAGTGATAGGAGTATTGTATAGCTTTGTTCTTTTTTTGTGACTAATGAACTAATGATCATAATATTTGTGACTTTATCACTAGATGCGACGGTTGTAATTAGGTTGAACTTAAAACTATTTTAATTTCTGTCTCATTTCTTTAGTAAACAAATGTAGCTGTATAAGTATATATTCACGCGGACAGTATTTAGCTATGATTTTGTACGTGACCCGTTATCAAGTTGGTATTGTTGATCGAAGCTATTATGTCAATAACATTATATACATATATATATATATATATATATATATATATATATATATATATATATATATATATATATATATATATATATAGAAGAATATAATATATAGGGGCTCCGCCTGCACGTACTAGTAAGTGAAGCCGATGGGTGCACGGGTGGAAGATCAAGTTTGTCCCGTTACCAGTAAAATGGACCATCGGTTTTAGTCCGTAACCATACAAAACACAACAGTATGCTGTTGACCTAATCGTGCCGGCTCTTTCATGTCGCAGACTTAACACGGTGCTTTAATTTAAAATGTTTTTAACCAAAGGCTGTAGACGCTAAGGTCATTGTACAATTTTTTTTAATAGAATAAGAGTGACAAACGTGCACACAGTCCACCTGGTGGTAAGTTGCTGTAGCCCATAGACTTTTACATTTATTCTCAATTAAGAATCAAAACGTCACCTGTCACCCTTGAGGACTAAGATGGAATGTCTCCAGTAAAAAAGGGTCTCCGGTTCTCTACACTCACCATACGAAACACAGCAGTATTAAGCTGCTCTTTTACGTTGGTATTCTCTGAGAGCGTGGTTCTACCCCGATCGAGCTGACCCATTCATGCCAAAACCATTATATAGCTGCAACGTGGCTCTCTTCTCGCACAAAAACTCTTCGTTTTCCACAAACAGACTTTAGACAAATATACACCTATATTTATCTAAGGTCTGGTCTGGTCGTTATAGAAACCATTAGAAACCACTTAAAAACCATCCAATCGATTTTAATGACATTTTTGGTGTATTTGAATGAGTACCTCGATGGTTTATGTTCATATTTGGATCCGGTAAGTAACACTGTCGAGATCCAGATATCACCAGTGCGAAGCAGGTATCGCTAGTATTTTAAAGCTCATATATAATGTGTAAAAATAATGAACTAAACAAAACGTAAGACAAAGATTACTTATTGGGTCCTCTTTACAGGTATCTTAGGCTTTTGAATAATTATGTGAAAACTTCGAAAAGTATGGCGTTTAATTTAGATATGCCGTATCATCTTTCATAATTACATTACTAATACTTACTAAATAGTTACAGATATAGCTTTACTTAATGCCTAAATGCTAAAGTACACATAAACATTACTTTAAAACGTTAGAATCTCTTCTACTTAAAATCGAATACAATAAACGTTATTGAACCTAAAAGTGTTATTATAAGAAAGTAAAACTTATAAGTAATTTTAAATGTTTATAAATTTAATAACAATATTTTTGTTTACTAACAAAAGGTAAATATTAAATTTTCTGTACTACAACATTTCTGCGTCCATTATTTTCTTTTTGTAAATTTCAGGGGACCATTAAATTACGTCAGAGCACAAACGTGCCACAGTGCAAATAATTTTTCTTTTATGCTGAAATATGCTTACAAAAAGTTCAGAATAAGTAAAATCCTTTATATTATTTAAACAATATACTTAGGAAACAAACGATCCTGAATTTCACCACGAAATGTAGAAGGTTTAAGGGATACGTAGAAGAGGGAGGGGGGGAAGACAGCATTTGTAAGAATTCCTTTTATGGAAAATGCATACTATGGTAGAGACTTCTACACCTATTATGCTTGTGTTTCACGATAGTACTCTGTGCAAGCTTGGTATTTTCCCCCCGATGGAGTCAGCTTATTTGTGCTGCAACAATAGCAGCCCGCAGTATGGCTTTACCCCGGGGAAAAATTACCATAAACCGAACTTTTTTTATTGTCTCGTCGTCTTTTTATTCTTGGCATGCGTATGCATTTTATTATAACTGGGCATATGTTGAACTAAATTCAATTCTAATGCTACAGTAATTTTATAGTAAATAGATAACTATATCTAGGATAGGTAACTATATCTAATATATATCTAGGAGACCCTTTTTACTGGCAATGAGGCATTCCATCTTAGTCCTCACGGGTGACAATACATCTGCATTTTTATTTGTAGTCGAGAATAGATGTAGATGTTATTGGGCCACAGCAACCACTTATAATACACCATCAGGTGGACTGTGTGCTCGTTTGTCACCCTACACCTATAAAAAAAACTACTCACTAATCAGGCTCGCTTGACTTGAAAGAATTGAATGATTATTCTGATTATCACGCTGATTTAATGATATTACTATATATAATGAGTTTTAAATAAGGAGCTGTATTGAGTAACGTTTTAAATTCCTTTCCAGTGCATTACGAGGGGTGATCCAAAAGTAATGATAATCGGTTACTTTAGGTCCGCATAAAAATCCAAAAAAATATTTTTTTCTTGCTTATATAGTCACTACGTCAGCCTAAAAAAATCATATAAATAGATCACGATTTCCGGGAGATACATTCATTTGAATACGAACTGTCAAAGATGGATGTTTCACGCTTGAAATAAGGATTGACGGTTGAAATTCATTTTTATTTTTATAGAATACAGAGACAAACGAGCAAGCAGTCCACATTATAGCAAGGCAATGTTGTGGCCCACAAACATCTACATTTTTCCTCAATTGAGAATCAAAATGCAGATGCGTTGTCACCCCTTAGGACATAGATAAAATGACTCGTTTCCAGTAAAAAAGTGTTCGGTTTTCTACATTCACTATAAAGAACAGCAGCATTAAAATACTATACGCTTATATTCTGTTAGATTATGGTTCTTCTGCGGTCGAGCCGACCTATTCTGTTGCTGCGTGACTCTA